TTGGCTAACAACGCAATTTTACAATCATACTTGAACCACTGCTGTGACCACAGTGCCATGTGGCAGCATCACTCAATGCACTGTTGTTACATTCCCAGAGGCACATGAGTATAATGCAAAAATTATATATTAAACACCGCCTAGATTGGTTTTCCACTAGGGCGGTATACAAATAAAATATATTATTATTATTATTATTAAACAGAAGTTCAATATACAGCTAAAGATGATTTGGTGTCCAGAAGCTTATGGTTACAGACTTTCAAGGCCTAGTAGTTATTGCAACTTATTTAACTCATTCAAATCTCATTAACATTTTCACTGTTAATATTGTTTTTGTGTGCTTTCATTTGTTTCTGCCTTATGGCAACTCTAAGGCGAACCTATGGAAGGGGAGGGGGTCTTGGCAAGATTTATTCAGAAAGGGGTTTGTCTTTGCCTCCCTCTGAGGCTGAGAGAGTGTGACTTGCCCAAGCTGGGTTTCCATGGCCAAGCAGAGATTCAAATCCTGGTATCCAGAGTTGTAGTCCAGTGCTCAAACCAGTACACCACTCTAACTCTCATAGGGTTTTCTTGGCAAGATTTTATTCAGAGGTTGTGTGCCCTTGCCTTCCTCTGAGTCTGAGAAAGCATGATTTGCCCATGGTCACTCAGTGGGTTTCCATAGCTGAGCATAGATTTGAACCCTGCTCTCCAGAGCTGTAGTTCACTGCTCAAAGCACTACCCTACACTGGCTCAAACCTTTTTGCTATTTCTTCATCATTCTAGCATGAACCTAACTCATGTCCCAACTCCTTCCATTCACTGTCTCATCTCTTACTCCACTGTTTTTCCCCTCTAACTCTCGCTAACTCATATCTCTGAGTTTTAACTAATTCCTGTTTCAAACTCATATTTCTTAATGGCTCTCATGCACACCAGCCTTTTAAAAATCCTATTAAAACACCCAAACATTCTTTATTCTCTCCCCCTCCCAATAGATCCTTACCTTATTATGTATATTATACATCTCATGCATAACCATAGTTTAACTTAATTTCTGTAATAAATACATCTCTTTATTTTTTTGTTACGAAAGTCCAGACCATCACAAGCACTCCAAAGTTTTTCTTAAGAATTATGCAGGAAGTCAGTCTTGCACTTCCAGGCTGAGAAGCTGAATCTCTGCACTCATTACAGGCCCTGGTGAGCTTGCTGCAGGGACAGAGGTTTGGGAATCTGGATTCCATCATCATTTATTGCACACGTCGGGAGGAGACAGCACGGATCGCAGCACTCATCCGCACATGTCTCCAGGGAGTGAAGCTCAAAGAACCCCCCAATGCTGAGGAGCAGCAGGAGGAAGATGCCACTTTCACTGGGAAAAGGAAGAAATCAAAAGGTGGTGGTTGGCTGCGAATCTCTGGGGTGGAGCCAGTCTGCAGAAGTGTGCAATCTGGAAATATGAGAGCTGGAAGAAATTCAGCAGACTGTGTTACTCCAATTTCTGTGTTAAATCAAAAATGAAATTTATTCATTGGCTGCCTGGAGTGGGTCAGGACAACTTGAAACTACCTAAAATTGAGCTATACTCTGGCAAAACCAGATTCTCCATCCTTTTCCTGGTTTCACTTCAACTATTTGACTGAAGGGGCCAAAATAAGTCAAACTTTCCAAAGGATTCCCAGGCTTCCAAAGTGCAGGGTCATATCCTGAAAGCATTGTTCTGTTCACCTTTTAAAGCAGGGAGATATGTTTCCAAAGCCAAACTATTTCTGGGTGTCTAGAGGCTGAATGTACATATTTGTATGTAGGTGCAGCCAAAAAACGGAGTTGTAAGAGTCTGAGTTGGAAAACTGAGACTAGTATGAAAGAGCAGGGCTATGAACTGCAGTTCAAGCAAAGCCCAGCTTCCATCCACAATTAGGTTGGCATCTTCAGCATGATTTAGCAAGCTAAACCATACACCATTCAAGATCATGGATAGCTGAATGTATGTCCAGCTCAATGAATGTTTTTTCAGTATAAAAAAAATCTAGAGATGGAAGACAGATAACATTTGGGGATACATTTTGTTATTCACAAGACTTGAACACAGGTCTCTAGAAAGGATTATCTCTTTTTGATGTTACTACAGGAACTCTGCCTGTCCCTTCTCAGACTAGCTTATTTTTTAAAAATTACCCAAATAGAAGCAGTTAAAACAGGTTGGGAATCAAACCACTATCCAGATGTTGGATTTGGTTCCCATTCTCAGTGCTCATCATTGCTGGCTACATGGATAGGGGTTCTGGGATTTGCAATTCAATGACATTTAAAACTGCTTGGCAAAGTGTGTTTTAGGCAGATGCAGGGTCATTTTTGTCACATTTTGGGGCCCTACTGAGACATTTTGACCAAGAAGAGGCCTTTTTCTAGAACAGGGAGTGAACAGGACTCTCCTTGGCCTAAAATGACTGAAGATCTCAAAAATGTGGCAAAAATACCCCTTAAATCTGGGGGTACCCTCCTCCCCTGATTTTATTTTATTTTATTTTTGTAGTGGGTTGCAATGGAAATTCTCCAAGGGGGCAAATGTCCAATTTGGGGTGGGGTGGGGACCCTGGAATTCTTAGAAGGTTCAAAGAATACAATAATTTCTGACCCTAACTTTCAATATTTATTTATTTGATTTATATCCCCCTTTCTCCCAAAATGATACACTGAAATCTTCCTTGAGGTCAAAAAATGTTTCAAAAATCATCAGTTCAAGGCTATTTAAAACTTATCGTAGTGTATGGTCTTTAAATCAAACCATCTACAAGCCTGGGATTATGAAAGGTCTTTGGTACTGAAATGACATCAGAACAAGTGTGATGTGAGCCTCTTTGGAGGGGGGCATTACTGTCATGGTGAGGGCGAGGCACGAATGTGCAGAGGCCAGGACCTTGAGATACTCTTGAAATCAGGAGGCAGAAACAGACAGCTTAAGGTCAAGGATTTATTTACAGAGGATAAGATATCACTATGTACAAATGCAGAGTAGAGTTCTAGGATGGAAGCAAACAACTCAGACTTCCTCTTGATCAGCTCACAGCAACACAGAGTTACACATGAACTTCAGAATGCTCTCTAACATAGACCAACTCACTGGACTGACTCTCCACAACTACTCTCAACGACATACAACTCCAGTGACCCACACTTGCAATCTCTAACAATTACAATAGCAAGTAGCAACAGCAAATACATTTTTGTACTGCTTATCAGTGAACTAGCAATCCCTAGGCAGTTTACAGTGTATAAACCAATTGCCCCCAACAAGCTGGGTACTCATTTTACCAACCTACGAAAGGATGGAAAGCTGAGTTGACCTAGAAAGTTGGTCATCCCCACCCTTATTTTTTTTTATAAAAATTTTTAAAATATTACAAAATAATAAACATAACAAACATCCAACATAACAAACATAACATTTTACATCCTCATCCTTATTAATGCTTGCCAAACAGCCATGTAAATTGCCTTTGCTGTGAGCCAGGAGGCCTATGGTTTGCGACTTTAAATCTCAGGGCTAGGTTTTAGAATCTGCCAAAAAGAGTGCTTTGGCCTTTGGAGTGACTGTCTGTTTCAATTTCCATGCAGCTAAAAAAAGCACCCGCCGTCCTTTAAAATGGATCGCCGATGCCTACCATGCTGGCTTGTCTGCTGTTGAACGCCGCCGGGTACAGAACAACTTCATGTCCGGCCAGCTGCGGGTGGTGGTAGCCACAGTGGCCTTTGGCATGGGGCTGGACAAGTCAGACGTGCGTGGCGTCATCCACTACAACATGCCCAAGAACTTTGAGAGCTACGTGCAGGAGATTGGGCGGGCAGGCAGAGATGGGAAGCCTGCCCACTGTCACCTCTTCTTGCACCCGGAGGTAAGGTCTGATTGTTGTGTTGATTCTTGGGACAGGGATTGTATGATATATGAATATGATTTCACCATTATCTCGAGAGCCCTGGTGGGTCATGAGGAGATAAACGTGTTAAATAAATAAATACATTTTCACTTCTATTTTGAATTTTCCCAAAACTGGGTCTCAAAGGTGCTTACAAAAAATTAAAACAAGTACTGCTAAAAATGCATCAAATAAATAGGTAAAATAGATATTGTTGAAATGCAGTGAAACAATCCATGGAATTAAAACATTTAAAACCATTGAATGACAGTAACTTAAACAGCACATTATTGCAAGCCCTTGTATTCATTCCCTATAAGCCTGTTGAAGCAGAAACGTTTTAACTTGCTGATGGAAGTAGAGTGAGGGGGGAGCTATCCTGGACTCCATAAGGAGAGAATTCCCAGGCCTGAGAATATCCACCAAGAAGGGCTCATTTCTCATGAACTCAACAAAGGTCCTTGTGAAAGTGGTGAAGGATCATAGAATCCTAGAATTGGAAGAGACCCCAAGGACAAACCAGTCCAACCCCATTCTGCCACACAGCAGTGTACCATTAAAGCACTCCTAACAGATGTCCATTCAAACTCTGTTTAAAAACCTCCAAATGAGACTCCGCTACGTTCCAAGGGAGTGTGTTCCACTGTCAGACAGCTCTTACTGTCAGGAGGCTCTTCCTAATGTTTAGGTGGAATCTCTTTTCTTGTAACTTGAATCCATGTTGTGAGAAGGAAAAAAGCCTTTCTGCTTCAAGGTCAAAAGCCAGGCTGTGTATACTTGTGTGTGTATATACATAGCACATCATATTCTCTGCAAAGGAATGTGGAATCCTGCTTTGGGGATTGTTCAGCAATTCTACACAATATGGATAGAGCAGTAAGAAAAGTGAGGTCAATTGGCCAGTCAACAGGTTGGTGGAAAGGATTTTTCTATCCATCCATCCATTTATTTCTCACTCACCCCATTTTGGAACTTTGGCAATCTAGCACATTTCAGTAACACAGCTTGTAAAAAATAACATAATAAGATAGGCAAGGGGGAGTTTTATATGAACTGATTAAAATAATCTGACTCCTGCTTAAATCTAGTTGATAAAAGCCAGTGTGGGATAGTGGTTTGAGCATTGGACTAGGTCTCTAGAGACAAGGGTTCAAATCCCTGCTCGGCCATGGATCACCCATGAGTGATCTTCGGCAAGTCCCACTCTCAGCTGCAGAGGATGACAAATCATGAACAAATCATGCCAAGAAAACACTTTTATATTGTTGCTTTTGTGTTGCCAGTAGTTGGAAATGACTTGAGGACACACAATAACAACAACAAAGCAAATCCAGCAAATTGCATTATAATTAAAAACACAGCTGCTACCTATATAAATCTGTTCCAAGGAGGATCTCTTTGCTAATGAACAAAGGATATAGGCAAGGAATGTATACCTTGGGAACCTATATAGTGTGCTTTTTAATACCATAGTGGGACATATCCTCAACATCATCAGAGTTACAGATACATTTTGTTGTGTATTGTTGGTAGAACGTTTGTATTATGCCCTCCCAAAAAGGCAGGGTTAGGGGACTGCTGGCCCTCCAGACATCCCAGAAGCCCCAGCTTGGAATTGTAAAGAGTTGTAGAAATGAATACATACATGCATACGTGTTCCATCCTCCCCTAGTCCAAGGAATTCAGGTTATCATTAGTATCCCATTTTTGTCTTCTCAACTATCCTCCTAGGTAGTTTGGGCACAAATGATGAGAAACAAGACTTAGTCAGAGGGGCTTCCTTCCCAGTCTGTCTCTCTTTCCTCAAGTTTATGCTGTCGGCTTTTTCCTTCTCCAGGGTGAGGACTTGCATGAGTTGAGACGGCACATCTATGCAGACACAGTTGACTTTTTCACGGTGAAGAGGCTGGTGCAGAAAGTCTTCCCTCGCTGCAAGTGCCGGGAGCTTCATCAGAAGCAACAGGAGCTCAGCAAGGTCAGGGGAATGAGTGGTGGGAGAAGGGCAGTCTATCAGATGCCTCTTTGGGAACTTCTTCCTCCTTTTCATGCTTTCATGGGGATATCTAGTCTGATTCTGAAAGTGCCGTTTATCTTTTCTTCACAAACCACATACTCATCTTTGTTTTCTTCCAAGGCATCCTAATAGAGGCTGATTTCTCTCTGTTCCCCAGAGTAGCTGATGCTTCAGCCAAGCTTCAGCTTCAAATGAATTATAGACACAAATGGTCTACTGCTAGTTTCAAGAACATAGCATAGGAGAAAAGTCTAGCTTTCATTAACACATTTATGTGTGTTGAAGAAAATGGAGAAGTGCTACAATAGCTGTCTTTCCATACCGTATTTCAAGGGGAGTCAGATTGGAATGTAGTGCTCCAGAGGATAGGGCCCAAAATAATGGATTCAAATTAAAAGGAGATTCTGATTAAACATCAGGAAGAAAGCTATTCAACAGGGTGACAAACTTCCTCAGAAGGTAGTTATGTACTGGCTAACTTCAGTTCAGTAACACAAGCACCAGCAGTTCAGAAAGCTTTATTCAGAAAAGTTGTTCACAGTATAGCAATATTATTAGAGGCACTTTCAGTTACAGAGTATATTAAAAGCAATTCAAATGTTTTCACATACTCAAACACCACTCCCAATTCATCTTCAAACCAAATATTCTTGTTACCAGAATTACTCCTTCTTCCTACTCAGTACCAAGTTTTCCTATCAAATTGACCTTGACAGTTCAATGAACATTCTTCTTTCACATCTGATCATTAGCTTGCTTCATTAAAAATAAAACAATTTTTCTACTCAGCATCACCACTTGTGTAGCCTAACCCCTCTTCCAGCATTAAAAAGTATATTCAAAATATATCCAACAAGCATGGCAGGACCAATGATGCTGACCGTAGTGGACTCTCCTTTGTTGGAGGTTTTTAAATAGACGATGGATAGCCACCTGACAAGGTGTCTTAACTTTGGTTCTTGCATGGCAGAGTTCAGACTAGATAATCCTTGGAATTCCTTCCACCTCAACAGTTCTATGATTCCGGAGGACCTCTTCTAAACAGGGGATAATTGGCTACTTCCAAGACTAGAAAGGCAGCCAGCCTGCCAGTCCTAGCTGATTATCTTACAGCTCCCTTCAAGTGGACAAGCAGATTTCTTTGTATTCTTTCTTCCATTTTTGTGGGGTTCTTGAAGGTAAAAAAGCCAATTCTTTACCTTAACATTGCCATAAAATCAAACCCCAACCTAGGATATTCCTGCTTGGCAGGGGGTTGGACTAATTGGCCTTTGTGGTCCCTTCCAGCTCTAATATTCTCTGATTGTATACCTCTTTTCCAGCATAGTTGGACACCCTTATGGCTAAAGACACGCAGCAGGAGAAGCAGAGTGCTGTCATCTTATCATATCTGTACAGAAGATTACATATGAAACAAATCACCTTTCAGGGGACTTCCCTTTCTTCTTGCTGTCCCCCCTTGAGGGCATTTCCTATATTATTATCATTGTCATTATCATTTTATTTATATTTCTGTCACATGCTATATCCAAAAATCTCAGAGTGGTGTACAATAAAACCATTTCAAAACAGTAAACATAACAGTAAAAGTATATTAAACAAGTTTTCTTCAAAAGATACCCCAGTGAAAGCATTTCAGTGCAAATCTCTGTACAAGTGGAGACTTTGGGCCTGTACAGACTGCCAGAAATAATCCAGCTTGAGACCACTTTAACTGTCCTGGCTCAGTGCTGGGGGATCATGTAGTTTATTGTGGCACCAGAGCTCTCTGACAGAGAAGGCTCAATGTTTCAGAAAAAACTACAATTCCCATGATTCCTTAGCATTGAGCCAGGGCAGTTAAAGTGGTCTCAAGCTGGATTATTTTTGGCACTCTGTACAGGCCCTTTATAGAATCAAAAGAGACACCCCTCCCCCCAGGGCCATCCATTCCAACCTCTTCTGCTGTGCAGGAACACATAATTAAAGCATTCTCTGTGACAGATGGCCATCCAGCCTCTGTTTAAAAACCTCCAAAGAAGGAGACTCCACCACCCTCCAAGGCAGCAGTATATTCCACTGTCAAGCACGTATTGAATGAAATCAATTAGGCCCAAAAGGCTTCGGTAAAAAAACAGCTTTTAAAAAGCCATCTTGAGTCCTAAATTGAGAAAAACATAGGATGTTAATATTTGTATTCTCCATATTGAAAAAGGAGCGAGTATGTTTTCGGCTGGTCCAGAGACTAGGATATGGAACAATGGATTTAAAGTACAGGAAAATAGATTCCACTTGAACATTAGGAAGAACTAAAGATTATCATAATAAGTGCCAGAATTGGTGCCAGTTGGGCCTCAGAAGGGAGAGGATTCTACAACATGGCATAAGAGACTTTGTATGTGACAAAGATGCTTTCAATCTGCAGGGTGATGAAATGGAGGATGTAGAGATGTTGGCCATCTCAGAGGAAGCCAGAGAAGAGAATCCACACCAAGACAAAGGACAACCAAGAGTGTGTTATAAACACGAGAGAGCCATTCCGATTCAGCAGACCGTGGAAGCCCTCGACTTCCGAGAGGAAGGTGAGAGGTACCAATATAAAAAATTGGGGGGGGGGAGAGAGAGGGTGGGAACAAGGTTATGTTCCCTGAACCTTTAAAGTGAGGCAGATCCATAATATGGGGACACAAGTTGTGCGTTATCTGCCATGCTTGCTGGTGCAGAACATATCCATGTATTTTGAGTCAATCTCTGTGCTATTCCTCTCTTATTTCTTTTAATTTCTCTGCAACCTGGAAAAGGAGGGATTTCAATCTCTGTTGCAGAATAAATTCTGAAGAACTGAGCAAAGAGTGCAGGAAGCTATAATTTCCATAATAGAGTTAGACCTCAAATTGGTTTGCTAGGGTATGCAGAATGCATGTCAGTTATAAATGTAGAAAAGCCTGTTCAGAGATTCAACTACTGGGAGCCAAAGTAATATTCCACAGTGGGCATTTCACAGCTGCATCTTTTGTTCTGTTTTTGTTGCTGTTCATAGAATCCTAGTCTTGGAAGAGACTCCAAGGGCTATCCAGCCCAACCTCATGCACAAAGTGCTCCCTGTGACAGATGGCCATCTAGAATTTGTTTGAAAGACTCCAACACCCTCCGAGGAAGCATCTACTTCTATTGAACAGCTCTTACTGTCAGGAAGTTTTTCCCATTGTTTAGGAGGACTCTTTTTTCCTGTAGTTTGAATCCATTGCTCCATGTCCTAGTCTCTGGAGCAGCAGAGAACAAGCTTGCTCCAGCCTCAACATGAAATCCCTTCAAATATTTAAACATGGTTATCATGTCACCTCTGAACCTTATTTTCTCCAAGCTACACATTCCCAGATCCTTAAACCACTCCTCATAAAGCATGGTTTCCAAACCTTGTTGTTTTCATCATTTATTTATATAGTGCCATTAGTGTACATGGTGCTTACAAATAAAAGAACAACAACAGGAAAAACCAGCCAGCTCTGCCAAAGACATACAATCTCAAATATATACACATGGGCTGGTAAAAAGAAATGAGGGCTGCAGGATACAGGGGAGTTAGGTGTGGTAGGGATTTAAAAGTTAAAATAATAAGTTTGTCATTCTTATATGCCTTCAAGTCATTTCTGACTTATAGTGACCCTAAGGCAAACCTATCAGGATTTTCTTGGCAAGATTTGTTCAGAGGGGTTTGCCATTGCCTTCCCTTGAGGCTGAAAGAGTGTAACTCACCCAAGGTCACCCAGTAGGTTTCATGGCCAAGCAAGGATTTGAATCCTGGTCTCCAGAGTCATAGTCACAATGCTGGAGCCACTACCACCACACTGGTTCTCAAGAAGCTTATGCTGATCCTGAAAAGAATAGGCAACCAATCAAAGGGCCTGTACAGACAGGCCAAAAGGGCCGGCCTGGGGGTGGAGTTGGGGCAGGGCATCCATACTCCAGCCGCCCTGATTCTGCCCCGACACCACTGTCATCCCACACGCCACAGCGCACAGCATCAGGGTGCTCCCTTGGTGCAGCGTTTAGACATCAAAGGAGCGCAGAAGAGCCACGGCAGCGGCAGTAATGGCGGCTTTTTACGGTTCCAAAAAGGAGCAGCATTTGCCAGCTCTTTTTGGAGCAGCAAAGAGCCAGATTGGGGCTGCGGTG